ATTTCCATAGCATTCCTCAGTGCTTGCTTTATTTGGAGCTGTGTGGGTAAGTGCTTCACTGAGGTGCCACTTCTCTTGATTCCTTTCCCTGCCATGTTTTATAGAGATTTCTTAGGATGTGCTCGCCTTTCCTCCATTGATATGTCAGCTCTTACTTAGAATGCCATGCTTTGCTTTTCTTAAAAACAACTTTTAACTTATTTTTATTGAATTTCTTGGGGTGACATTAGTTAATAAAATCATATAGGTTTCAAGTATACAATGTAATAAAATATCACCTGCATACTGTATCATGGGCTCATGGACCAAAGTAAAGTCTCTTTCCATCTCCTTTTATCCCCGATTGGCCCACCTACACCTCTCTTACCCCACTTTCCCTATGGTTATCACCATACTGTTGTCTGTGTCTATGTGTTATATATATATTTTTTTCAATTTTTTGAAAAATTTTTCACCTAGACCCTCATCACCTTCCCCCTGACAGCTGTACTATATATCTATGCTTTTGTTTCTATTTTGTTTATTAACTAACTTTGTTCACCAGATTGCACATATAAGTGAGATCATACAGTATTTGTTTTTCTCTGACTTGCTTATTTCACTTAGCATAATAATCTTCAGGTCCACCATGCTGTCACAAATGGTAAATTTTCTTCCTTTTTACAGCTGAGTAGTATTCCACTGTGTAAATGTACCCCAGCTTTTTTTGTTCACTCATATACTTATGGGCACTTGGGGTGTTTCCAGATCTTGGATATTGTAAATAACACTGCAATAAACATAGGGGTGCATATATTCTTTCAAATTAGTGTTTCGGGCTTCTTAGGTTGTATTCCAAGAAGTAGAATCACTGGGTAAAGATGTAGTTCCTTTTTTAATTTTTAAAAGTAACTCCATACTGTTTCCCACCATGACTATACCAGTCTGCATTCCCACTAACAGTGTACTAGGGTTCCCTTTTCTCCACATTACTGCCAGCAATTGTTGTTTGTTGATTTATAGACGAAAGCCATTCTGACAGACATGAGGTGATATCTCATTGTCATTTTAATCTTCCTCTCTCTGATGATTAGTGACATTAAGCATATTTTCATGTTTATTGATTATTGTATATCCTCTTACAAGAAGGGTCTATTCATGTCCTTTGCCCATTTTTAAGTTGGGTTTTTGGTCTTTTTGGTGTTGAGTTGTATACATTCTTTATATATTTTGGAAGTTAACTCCTTTCAGATGTATCGTTGGAGGATGTATTTTCCCTTTTTGTGTTATTGATGGTTTCTTTTGCTATGCAGAAGCTTTTTAGTTTGATGTAGTCCCATTTCTTTATTTTTTCCTTTGTTTCCCTTGTCCCAGGAGATATATCAGAAAAAATATCCCTATGTGAGATGTCCAAGATTTTACTACTTATGTTTTCTTCTAGGATTTTTATGGTTTCATGACCTTCATTTAAATCTTTAATCTATTTTGAGTTTATTCTTTTGTGCAGTATAAGCTGGTGGTCTAGTTTCTTTTATTTTTCTTTCTTTAATTCCTTTTTTTTTTGCATGTATTTGTCCAATTTTCCCAGCACCATTTATTGAAGAGACTGTCTTTACCCCATTGTATGATCTTGACTCCTTTGTCAAATATTAATTAGGCATGCATGGTTTATATCTGGGCTTTCTCCCTCTCTCTCTCCCTGTCACTCCCTCTCTCTTTTTTGATCCTCACCCAAGAATATATTTTCCGTTGATTTTTAGACAGAGTGGAAGAGAGAGGAAAAGACAGAGAAATATTGATGTGAGAGAAACACATCAATTGGTTGCCTTCTGCAGTCGGGGCCCGGGACAGGAGGAGCCTGCAACCAAGGTACATGCCCTTGACTGAAATCAAACCTGGGACATTCAGACCGCAGGCTGATGCTCTACCCACTGAGCAAAACTGGCTAGGGCTGAGCTCCTGTTTTGTTCCATTAAATTATATTTCTGTTCCCGTGCCAATACCATGCTATTTTGATTACTTATGGCCTTATAGTATAGTTTCATATTAGATATTGTGATACCTCCAAATTGGTTTTTCTTAAGATTGCTGAGGCTATGCAAGGTCTTTTGTGGTCCCATATAAATTTTTGGAATATTTGTTTTAGATTTGTGAGATATCCCATTGGTATTTTAATAAGAATTACATTGAATCTATTGATTGCTTTAAGTAGTATGGACACTTTAATGATGTTGATTCTTTCTATCCATCAATAGTGTATATTTTTCCAGTTATTTGTATTTTCTTCAATTTCTTTCTTCAGTATCTTATAATTTCTCTAGTACAGATCTTTTACCTCCTTGGTTAAATTTATTCCTAGGTACCTTTTTTTGAGGCGAGGTGGGAGGTTGTTGCAATAGCAAATGGAATTGTTTTCTTAATTCCTCTTTCTGATAGTTCATTACTGGTGTATAAAATGCCACCAATTTCTGAATATTAATCTTGCATCTTGCTACTTTGCTGAACTCATTTATGAGATCTAGTGTTCTTTTGTTTGTTGGTTTTTGGTTTTGGTGGAGGCTTAGGGTTTTCTATGTAAAATATTATGTCATCTGTGAATAATGGCAGTTTTTCTTTCTCTTTTCCAATTTGCATGCCTTTTATTACTTCTTGTCTGGTTGCTGTGGTTAGGACTTCTAGTGCTATGTTGAATAAGGGTGGTGAAAGCTGACATTCCGTCTTGTTCCTGATTTTAAAGAAAACACTTTTAGTTTTTGCCCATTGTGTATGATGCTGCCTATAGGTTTGTCATATTTTGCCTTTATTATGTTAAGGTATGATCCCTCTATTCCCACTTTGCTGTGAATTTTTATCATAAATGAATGATGGACTTTATCATATGCTTTTACTGCCTGTATTGATATGATCATGTGAATTCTATCCTTCATTTTGTTTATGTTATATATCATGATTTGATTTGTGAATATTATACCAACCTTGTATACTGGAATTAATCCCACTTGATCACAATGCATGATCTTTTCAATGTAGTGCTGGATTCAGCTTGTTAATATTTTGTTGAAGATTTTAGCATCTGTGTTCATCAGGGACATTTGCCTTTTTTTAAATTATTTTGTTTAAGTATTGGAAAGGAAGAGATAAAACTTCCCTTTATTTTACATGATCTGATTGTCAATATAAAAAAATCCAAGAAAATCTGTGAATAAATATCTGGAACTGATAAAAAGAATACAATATCCATATTCTAAAATCAATAACAGCCGAAACCGGTTTGGCTCAGTGGATAGAGCGTCGGCCGGAGGACTGAAAGGTCCCAGGTTCGATTCCGGTCAAGGGCATGTACCTTGGTTGCAGGCACATTCCCAGTAAGAGATGTGCAGGAGGCAGCTGATCGATGTTTCTCTCTTATCGATGTTTCTAACTCTCCATCTCTTCTCCCTTCCTCTCTGTAAAAAATCAATAAAATATATTTAAAATAAAATAAAGTCAATAACATTTTTATACCATTCATGCCTTTCTTGATTATTAACTTTTCTTCCAGATTTACTTCATTTGGTTTTATTAGCATTTCCGCAATGATAACCTTATATATGAATGTGTGTTAGTAGTAGCCATACTTTAAGACACCATCTGCCACTACTGGATTCAATAGTGGTCAAGTGTTCTCTAGTGACAAAGTCCTCTATTGAGAATGCTTTGACAATCACAATTCTTTAGAGTATGGTTTTTGATTTTCATGTGGGAGTCTTTTCCAACATGAGAAAAAGTATTCAAATGAAATAATAGAGATGGAGAGGAACAAAATATTTCTTTACTATTTCATTAGTTTCCAAATAAATATGTCAAGTATATTTTGTGAGAAATCTCAAAGACTTTTTTCTTCCTAATGCACAGTTTGCTTCTCCATTCACTGATAAGGTGATTAGAAACAGTTCTTGAATAACCTGGGAGGAAGTGAAACAGATTTTATATGTCAAATGGGCCCATTTCAAGTTTCTTTGAGATAAATAAATCTCACAGTGTTTACTACACCACAAATAATTATCACCAAAGTTAGAACCTGCTTTATTTTTTATGGTCAAGAGCAAAAGAGGAGGAGGCTCAAGAAAAGTTATTTTATTTATCAAGAGAAAGCAGATATTCAGGTCTCCTGGATATAGGCTAAGAGAAAGGTAGAAAGGTTTCACAGTAGTGAGATTCAGAAGTTGAAGGTCAAGGCAGAAATGAGTCAAGAATAAATTCAGGACCCAAGAGAGAATAGGTCTTTTTAAAATTATTAATTATATATTTTTATTGATTTCAGAGAGGAAGGAAGAGGGAGAAAGATAGAAACATCAATGATGAGAGAGAATCATTGGTCAACTGCTTCCTGCACGCCCCACACTGGGGATGAGCCTGCAACCCAAGCATATGCCCTGCCCTGGAATAGAACCATGACCTCCTGGTTCATAGGTTGACACTCAACCACTGAGCCACGCTGGCCAGGTGGGAGAACAGGTTTTGCTCAATATGCACACCCTTCACCATAAAAGTTAATGTTCATTTAAGATATTTAAAATGTTGCTAAACGTTAAAAGGTCCCCCTAGGTTTCTATTTACCGCATATGTTTATCTTTAACTACCAGCAGTCAGAAATTTTAGAAAATATCAAAATAACCTCCAAACTTCCTCAGGATTATTAAAATTAAGGCGAAGTAGACAGCCAATTGGTCAACAAATATCTATAGGTCATTATGATGGTCACTGTCCTAGGTGCTTGTGATTCACTGATATAGAAAAGAAGTAGAATATCTGTCCTAGAATACAGAGGTTAAGTTTCAATGAGGGAAGAGCAAATATAAATGTGTAGGCCTATGTAACAAATGAATATAAGAAACCAGTAATTCAGCACTGCCTTTACTGGGCTTGCATACAGAGAAGACAGTGGTGGTAGTTGGAAATAAGTCCACTTGGCCCAGATTGATGGAATTTAAGCTCTATAGTAAAAGAACAGATGGATACTAATCCTTCTTTCTTCACAGTGAATTTTCATTTTATACATGGCAAAACTGACAAAAGGCTGTCTGAACTACGCACATATAATTCAGGTTTAACCTGCTTCAGTGAAGGGACAAGCATGACAGGTAAGGTGTTGCAATTATTTTAAAAAAAAAGATTTTAGGCAGAGGGAGGGAGGGAGGGAGGGAGGGAGGGAGGGAGGGAGGGAGGGTGAGAGAGAGAGGGATAAAGAGGGAGAGAGGAAGAAAGAGAGAGAGACATCAATGTGAGAGAGAAACATTGACTGATTGACTCCTGCACACTCTCCAACCAGAGATCAAACCCACAACCTGAGTATGTGCCCTGACTGGGAATAGAACCTTTTTGTGCACAAGGTAACATTCCAACCAACTGAGCCATACTAGCCAGGGCATGTACTATAATTCTGAACCAGACTGTCTCTTTTCTCAGAGGTCTGAGGGGAGCTCAAGATTGGTTTATTCTAGTTTTTAAAAGTAGTCTCTGCTTGGATATATATCAACTTACATGCTCATATCAGGCTCTAGATTTTCCCTTAAAACAATTCATTTTCCAGACTTCCAGACAAATGCTACCGACATCGACATAATTTGCTCAAGCCAACTGTGGAAATATTTCATAAAAATTCTGCTTTCAAATTATTCTTACTTTTATCAAATGGAAAAAAATATCTTTTGGTATTTAAGGTTTCTAATTAAAAATACTTATCTCCATTCCAAGTAACAGCGTTATCACTGGCTAATTTTGATGTTGGACCATGAGTCAGGATGAGACTGTCCTCACTTTAAAACTGTGTAAATGTACCATAGCTGTTTTACCCACTTTACTGATGGACACTTGGGCTGCTTCCAAATCTTGACTAATGCTGCAATGCACATAGAGATGCATATATCCTTTTGAATTAGTGTTTTGGGTTTCTTTGTATAAATTCCCAGAAGTGGAGTTCCTGGGTCATGAGGTCGTTACATTTCTTTCTTATTTTTTTTGTTTGTTTGTTTGAATAGTATTTATTGATTGCTATTTTTTTACTTTGTATTTTTTTTAAATTAAATTTATCAACCTGATACTGGTCAATAGTGTCATACGGGGTTCAAGTGTACATTTCTATGATACATGATTTGTATATTGCATTGTAAACACAATATTTCCACTTTGATTAAAGTTAAAAATTAATTGAAATCCACATGGTATCTTCTCCAATTTATTTCCTACTCGGTTTGACTCAGAGTTTAAAAACAAAACTCATGTTATTTTTATTTTTTAAAAAATATTTTTATTGATTTCAAAGAAGAAGTGAAAGGGAGAGAGAGCTATAAACATCCATGTGTAGGCTTATGTAACAAATGAATACAAGCAGCCACTGATCAGAGAACCACTGATCAGTTGACTCCTGCACGCCCTGCTCTGGGGGATGGAGACCGCAACTCAGGCATGTGTGGGGGGCTGTTTCTCTCTCTTCCATGTCCCGCATGGAAAAGGAAACAGTCCATTTTCTGAGTGGAGGAGCTGGGGATTAAGAAATTAAAGAAAGACCAAGACGCAGAAATAGATTTTAAGCTGGGGCCAGGTAGGTGCCATACTCTCTGATAGAGAGGCGGCAAAAAGCGGGCTGAGCCACACAGCAGGTTTATTTTAAAGGCCTAGATTTACATATCTAGTTCCGCCCCTGCCTGATTAACATGTCCAGCCTTATTGGGGAAGCATGTTCCCAGGGCGTGGCTCTGCCTATGCTCTGAGTTCAGCTGACAATAATTATAAGAAAATGCCTAGGTGCCTCCCAGGCGGCCCTCTACAGGCATGTGCATGTGCCCTGACGGAGAATCAAACAGTGACTTCTTGGTTTATAGGTTGATGCTCAACCACTTAGCCAGACCCGCCAGACTCTTATAAGTTTTGTTTTGTTTTAAACTTATCTATTAGCATCTAAATACCATTCAAAAGTTTATCCCACCCTGATCATTTATTTTAAAAACTGCCTGCTTGGGTTTGTTTCTATGTATTAGGTAGATCTGCTATGACCCTTTCTGGAAGGTCTCTAGTGCAGGCCCATGTCAGATTCTGTTTGTGACTGACCTTGAGTAGGTGGTTTGGAGCCAGCAGCGATCTGCAGTTTGTGGCTCCCTCTGCTGGGGCTGAGTGCATTTGGAAAGGACCAAAATGTGCACCAAGTTCTGCTTTTCCTAGCTCCAGGCCCAGAAGCAGATCGGGCAAAGACTTGAAGCATCCAGAGGTCTGCCTCTGCCTGAAGGTTGATTGTTATTAACAGTCACTTAATGAACCTTAATTGTTATTCACAGTCACTTAATGAGCCTTAGGCTGTAGACCAAGCAAGCCATAAACTCCACAGAATGGGGTAAGAGGTTTTCCAATGGGTGGGAGCCATTGTCCCCCTCCACCCCAACCCCCAGGCAAAAGTAATAAAGAACAAAATAATGAACTATGAAGGTCTGCCTGAGAAAGATGTCTTTTGCAGTAGCGGGGGATGACTCAACAGAGCCCCCAACCCTGGATCCTCCTCACATAGCTCTAGTCTACTCTGCCTTCCCTCTGTCTGAGCCCAAGGTGAGTGGCTGCACATGAAATTTTGTGTGTGGCCCTTTAAGAGGGTGCCTGTATTTCCAGTAGTCTCTCCCTGTCCAACAGAAACCCTGCTGCTTTTCACAGCCAGATGTTATGTGGGCACCTTTCTCAGTTCTATGTTCTGGGCTGGGGAGCCCAGCTTGGGGTTTAGAACCTCGACTTCTCAGGGGGAATCCCGGCAGCTGAGATATCCCTCTGGAACTTCATCTGCTGCCTGTGAGAGCTCGGCCAGCCTTCTAGGGCCTTCATATTTCCTACCAGTCTTGATGGGGGCTCCGCTTTACATCTCGGTTATAGGGGTTGTCTCCAGCTAATCTTCAGTTGGTTATTCAGGATGATTTTTCTATATTTTGGTTGTAATTCCAGTTTGTCCTAGAAGAGTGTCAGTGTAACTTCCACATAACCCAACACCATCTTGGAGTCCCCTTAATTAAACTTGTTTTATCTATTCCTTTTCTGACACCAATCTGGAAAGGAAAAGAAAGTCTTGATTTTTTGCTGCCTAATGCAGGTAGACTTTATATCCTTGATAGCTGATAGGTGATGATCACTTGTTACCCCTGGGTGAAGATGGGAATTTTGGTTTTCATGCAGCCTCCCTTGGTCTTTAGTTTTAAGAAAACACACTCTAAAAGTTACTTTTAAAAATATTGAACCTATGTGATCTTCTAATCAACACAGAGAAATACTGGAGCTGCTGTCCACGGAGTTGGAAGTCATTTAGTTTGAACTGCTACTTTATTTCTACTGACACCAACAATTGGACAGAAAGTAGAAAGAAGTGCTTAGGAATGAAGGCTCACCTGCTGGTGATCAACTCCAAGGAAGAGCAGGTACATTTGATAGATATTGGAGCCCAAAATTCTGCCTGGGTTTTGTACACCTCTCTTGGAGAAGGAGGAGGTTTTCATTGTCGTGAGATATTGGTGCTGTGGCAAAGGCTTTCAATGACATAGGCTATGTAAGCCTTTACATTTCACACTGTTTTTCTATTTCCACAAAACTAAACTCCTCCAACATACATAAGGACACTTAAATTGTAATATGTGGAGGTTGATGGGACGATGAAAACATTTCAGCCTGATATATCAGTTTATTATTTCAACATGTAAATGTTTTATGAATTGTTAAGTAACCGATGTAGTATTAAGTCAAATGGGGAAATGAAGTAAAAGAATCTTTGATGTTGTGAAAGGAAAAAGATTTAATGTGAAGAAGTTTACTCATGTATAACTTCAAAGAATACCCTCTCTTAGTGAAGAAAAGAGGGAGAGAGTCTAAGATGAGAATTTACTGCAATTATGGATAGAAATCACTTCCATATGTATTGGACATTGCTATGTTCTGACTGTGTGTGTGTCCTCTCCAAATTTACGTGTTGAAATTCTAACTCCCAAAGGCGATGGTATTAGGAATTGGGGGTTTGGGGTGGTGCATAGGCCATTAGGGTGAAGCCATCATAAATCAGGTTAGTGTTCTTATAAAAGAGACTCCAAACAGCTGCCCCGCCTTCCACCATGTAAGGACACAGCCAGAAGGAGTCAGCTATGACTCTGGAAGAGGGATTTGCCCAATCATGCTCCAACCCTGATTGGGGATTCCAGCCTCCAGATCTGTGAGAAGTATGTGTGTTGTTTATAAGCTACCCAGTCTGTGGGCTTTCGTTGTAGCAGCCTGAATAGATGCAGACAAACAGTAGGCTCACAGGATGTCCATGACCCTGTACTGCACAGACAGAGAAGGCCTGGCCTCCTGGGCAGGGCCTCCTGGCTCTTCCTGGCTCCTCTTCTTCTCTTCTCTCTCCCTGAGGCCATAAAGAACTCAGTTCAACCTGAGTAATCCAAAGGCCATAACTCCTTCTTTTTTATTTCCTCAGGATTTTATCATTCAGAACCTGAATAAAAGCAAAAAGTACTATTTGGGGCTGTCAGACCCAGAGGGTAACAGAGACTGGCAATGGGTTGATCAGACACCGTACAATGCAAGTGCCACGTGAGTATAGAATTTGATAAAGGAATCCTGAGTCCTGGATTTTAGAGTGTCCAAAGTATCGGGTTTGAAAATAAAATAGCTCAGACTTCTTGTAACGCTTGGCACTAAGTTAAATAATTTTATTTATTATCTCATTGAATCATCACAAGAACCCTATGCAGCACAGATTATTATTTTTTCATTGTAGAGCTGAGGAAACTGAGTTAGAGAGTTTAGATAACTCAGCATATGTTATCTGGCACTGGTGACAATGGTCCTTAAACCCAGGTCTATTTGCTACCAAAGTGTGTATATTTTATTTTTAAATCCCTCCTCCTCCTTAAGTATGTTTGCATTGATTTCTGAGAGAGGAAGGGAGAGGGAGAGAGGGACAGAAACATCAATGATGAGAATCATTGATTGGCTGCCTCCCGCATATCCGCAATGGCAACCAAGCCCACAACCCAGGCATGTGCCCTGACTGGGAATTGAACTGTGACCCTGGTTCATGGGTCGATGCTCAACCACTGAGCCACACCAGTTGGGCCAAATTCTGTGTTTTGACCACACATCTTTATCTCTAAATAAACACATAATCATGTTAATTAAAATCACACCCAATTGTTAATACAGTAGGTTGTTGGGTTACGTCAGAGATCCATTCCTACCGCGCGACTTAACGTGATTTTCGCTGTAAGTGGGAACCCACCTGCATAAGCACCTACGTCACTCACATGGAGCACATACACAGCAGTAATGAAGTGAAACAGTAAAAAACATTTAAAATAAAGATAACAATTCCTGACCTTTACTTGTGGGAAATAAATAATAAAAAACATAAAGCACATATGTATAAACATCGAAATGATGAAACTTTTTTCTTTTTACAAATAAATGGGAGATGGTGACATAACCCCGAAACGACTACATCGAGTCCGCTGTAACCCAAGGACTCTCTGTATTTATTATAAATTGCTCATAAAGCAAATGAACTAAATTCTGATAGTTTTACAATATCCCATATTTGTGTAGGTCTTTTAAAATTCTTAAGTACTTTAGTACATTACTATTTTTTTAAAATTTATTTTTATATTTTTGTTAATACTCACCTGAGGATATTTTTCCATTATTTCTAGAGAGAGTGGAAAGGAGGGGGAGAGACAGTGAGAGAGAAACATCGATGTGAGAGATATGTATTGGTTGCCTCACGCACACGCCTGGCCCTGCTCTGAGCCAAACCGGCCAGGGCAGTACATTACTATTTTTGATCCTTAATCAACTGCATGAAATATATAAGGATCTTACTCTATTCTTTATTTTTTAGATATGTAAATAAAGGAAATTAAATAACATGTCCAAGAAAACAGGAATCAGAGCATATTCATAGATTTTAACTATTTCTTTAGACTCCAAAGCAGTTAGTTAGAAAAAAAAAAAAAAAAGGAACAAACTACATTAAGACTTGGGACCAGAGGAAACTGTCATCATTTAGGGAAGCCTGTGGCTGACAGTCCCCTAGAACAGGGCATGGACAAATAGAAGGGCCCCTGGGATATCTGCTGGGAAGGTGTTTAATGCAATAAGATGATACCATACTGGGCAGTGTGTAGGCACAATTTTCAAGGGAAATGCCAAAGACACAGATGGAGAAAAAAACCTGCCTAATAGTAGAAGAGAAATGATTGGGCACATCTGCTTTGACTTCTGTACAGTTTAACCCCAGCCTCCTACCTCACTGTCTCTAACCCTTCTCACTATTTGAAGTCACATCCACATTTTTCCCCTTTCAGATTCTGGCATCCAGGCGAACCCAATAATCAGTGGGAGCGCTGTGTTATACTGAATCATCGTTCACAGAGATCGTGGGGCTGGAATGATGTTTATTGTGAGAAATCTCACTGGTCAATTTGCAAGATGATGAAGATCCACTTATGAGTGGGAAATTCTCCATGAACATGCGGTTGAATTAGAAGCCACCAATAAAGAGTTAAATAATTTCTTTTTAGAATTCATGTGTAAGATTGTGTAAATGATCTCCAGAGAATTTTCCAATAGGCTGTTACCTATTCAACTTATATAAAATAAGTGTACATATCAATTCATGTATTCATGCACACAATGAACACCTATTTTATAGTAGACTGTATACTGGAGAGCCTATTCGCAGACAAATGGAGGGAGCATGAGCCTCCTCCCCCAATTTTTGTCTAATTTTTAAGGATTTATCAGGTGTGGGAAACGTCCGGCCCACAGGCCATATAAGGCATCTTAAATCATTTGGTCTGGCCCTGCCAAGGCATTAAGGGGTGAGTTAATTAAATGTTTGACACATTTAATTATGTTTACATACAGTAAGCTTATTTTTAAGTTGATAATTTTATATGGCCCAAGAATGATGTTATAAATATCCAAATGGCTATTGACAAAAAAAGGTCCCCCGCCCCTGAGTTAGATACTGATATAATATGATGTGGCTTCTCCATTTATCTGGATTTATCTCTTTACTAGAGGCCCGATGCATGAAATTCATGCAAGGGGCTCGGCCCTCACAGCCCTGGCTGCCTTGGGCTTTGCAGCCTCAGCTACCTTTGCCCTTGCAGCCGTGGCTTCATCCCGAAGGTTGTCTGGACTGTCATTCCGCCGTCTGGTTTAATTAGTATATTAGCTCTTTATTATATAGGATGGGCTGCTCAAAAGCAAAACAGTACTAACCATTCCATTCCATTTCTCTCAGACAGATTCATTATTTTCACTAAAAACGTATTACATAACATTTGGAATATGATGCACATCAATGGAGGATAAGTTTCAGCTTTGGCCCAGTAGGCTCTTGTGCTTCTTAACATTCTCTGTTTGGACTTGAAGTGTCATTTAATATCAGAGTTCAGGCATAGGATAATCAGAGATTGAGCATTGGGTATTCAGAATTAGAGAATTAGAAGTCATTACTGGTGTAAAAACAGAGCCACTTTAAAATGGAGTCAGAACTGCCACACCATTGAAACTGCCTTGCAGGTCATCCTTCTCAAACCTTTGGAATATTAAAACTTGCAAAATAACCTTTGGCCTGGGCCTAAAGCAGCACTGTATCTCAAACAACTCTTTACAAAAACAACAACAAAGCTGATATAATGACTCCTGACTGAAAATTAAATGAATTCTTTCGAATTAGCATCACTATGTTAGTCTGTCTGCACCTATAGTAATCCCTTGCTTCTATCCATACATTTGTTCCTATTACTTTCTCAAATACCCCTTGCCATCAACTCCTGCTAAAAATATGAAGTTTCTTCCTGAATTCATCAGTGCTTCCAGAATAGCCTTTGGATCCCAAATAAATGCTTTTGCTTCTCACTTTGACCTTATATTTTTAGGTTAACACTGATGAGTTGATATGGGTTTGTATTCATTAGGTTTTCTGATACTTTATTTTTTTAAGTTTTATATTTCCATGTATGGATTGCCACTCAAAATGAATCCTGGCATATTTGTGTCCCCCCTTTTACTAAAGTTCTTACACGTTGGGGTCCAACCCCAGCAGGTCCAGTGGTTCCCAAAGGTGTGGATGGAGTCAGCGAAGAAGGAATGACACGGAGACAGCGTTCAGTTGATCAGCAGCCTAGCCAGGTTCTCTAGTCAGGATCTCCAGCCAAGTTCTGTCTTTTGTTGTCTTGTTACATCTGTTTTTATACCAGTTAATTTTAATCCTGTCAATTTTTATTCCAAAGGTTAGGGCGTTTCTTATCTCCATTCCAGGGAGTAAAGATTATGTAGCTTAAGGGTGACTGTTCGTAGTTAGTGATTAACTACCTGCCTGGCACTTAGTTTAGGGGTTTTATTCCCTCCCTAACTTCAGGGAAAAATCCCTACCTGGGGAAACAACCTTTCTCGGAGAGGTGACCTTGGTTAAAACACATAGCGCCAAGAAGGTGAGCAAACATATTAAGAACAGTATGCCCTATATGCCAGGTCCCTTGAAACATGTGCAGATGTTTCTTTCCTGCAGCGACTGTGTCAAACAGCAAGGATGGACTGGCTTCCGGCACTTACACATTATTTTCTTTCTAAAGCAATATATAATATTTACAATATGGCCTGCAATTCATGCTTTATTATAGCAGTTATAATTAATCATGATAAAGCTGATTTTCTCTATGGCTATCCCTATGTGGCCTAGAATTGTACCCTGATTTTCTTTTTTTTAAAAAATAAATTTTATTGATTTTTTTTCAGAGAGGAAGGGATTAGGATAGAGAGTTAGAAACATGGATGAGAGAGAAATATTGATCAGCTGCCTCCTGCACACCTCCCACTGGGGATGTGCCCACAACCAAGGTACACGCCCTTGACCAGATTTGAACCTGGGACCTTTCAGTCCGCAGGTCGACACTCTATCCACTGAGCCAAACCAGTTAGGGCTACCCTGATTTTCTTGATTTAACAGTGTAGTTAATTATATCTACCACTCATTGCTTGCCTATATCTCAATTGAGTTATTTTTTAAAATTCTTTTTTGTTTAAAGTATTATGTATGTCTCCTTTGACATCTCCCCAGCCATTCCCACCCACCCTCACCTCCCTACTGTCTGTGACCCCCCTGTGGCCATGGGTTCTGCTTATATGCATGCATATAAGTCCTTTGGCTGATCTCTTACCCCACCCCCCCACCCCCATCTCCTACTTTCCATCTGAGGTTGGACAGTCTGTTTGATGCTTCTGTGTCTCTGGATCTATTTTTGTTCATCAGATTATGTTGTTCATTATATTCCACAAATGAGTGAGATTATGTAATATTTATCTTTCTCCAACTGGCTTATTTCATTTAGCATAATGTTCTCCAGGTATATCCATGCTGTTGCAAATAGTAAGAATTCCTTCTTTTTTACCCCAATGTAGTATTCCATGTGTAGATGTATCAATCTAATCTAATAAAACAGAAACATGCAAATTGACCACACCTCCGCTATGCCCCAAGCCATGCCACCAGCCAATCAGAGTGACTATATGCAAATTAACCCAACCAAGATGGCAGCTGGCAGCCACAAGGCTGGAGCAAGAAGGATGCTTGGTTGCCCAGCGATAGAGGAAGCCAAGCTTCCTGCCTGCCCTGGCTGGCTGTGGCCTCTGCTCAAGGCAACAAATTTTCAATTATAGAAGATAAATAAATCCCAGATACCTGTTTCCAGCCAGCCTCCACTGGGAGCTTGGGTGGCTGGGGGCCGAGGCCAGCCTCCAAACAGCCATCAGCCCCTCACCCAGACTGGCCAGGCACCCCAGCAGGACCCCCCACCCTGAAGGGGCTGTGGCCAGCCTGAAAACGGCCCTCAGTCCCTTCACCCAGGTTGGCCAGGCACTCCAGCGGGACCCCCACCCTTATCTGGGACACCCTTCAGGGCAAACCAGCCAGCCCCGACCCATGCACCTGGCCTCTATCCTATATAATAAGAGGATAATATGCAAATTTATCCTAACAGAAGAATGACTGGGAATGACTGGCCACTGTAATGCACACTGACCACTTGGGGGCAGACGGTCAATGCAGGAGCTTCCCCCAGTGGTCAGTGAGCTCCCACAAGGGGAGCTCTGCTCAGCCACAAGCCAGGCTGAACAGCTGCCAGTACAGTGGTGGTGGTGGGAGCCTCTCCCGCCTCCTCAGCAGTGCTAAGGATGTCCGATTGCAGCTTAGGCCTGGTCCCCGTGTACTGGGCTGCATATCGGGGCACGCTGTACTGTCTGTTCCTGGAACAGACAGATAGGAAGGTACTGACATCAGGTCAGGCCTTGAGATGTGGTCTCATGGTCCCTCCTCAATATACTGTGCTCTCTGTTCCTGGAAAACATAGATAGGAAGGTGATAATGCTATACTGTGTCGGGAACAAATTGCGTAAACAAGGCTTTGTAACTTTGTAGTTTTTGCAAATAAATAGGCTGTAACGCTTGCTGTCATTGCTGCAGTTAAGCCTTTGCTTTGGCAGAGTGCTGGGACTGCAGACAGCTGGCCAGCTTAATAAAGGTTCCTAAATTTAAATTCTGAGTCAGTGGTCTATCTTGCTGAGCCAACCCATAACACCCGCTGGCAAGTGGACATCCCCTGAGGGCTCCCGGGTTGCTAGAGGGATGTCTGACTGCCAGCTTAGGCCCAATCCCCTGGGAAGCTGGCCTAAGCCAGCAGGTGGTCATCCCCTGAGGGGTCCCAGACTGCGAGAGGGCACAGGCCAGGCTGAGGGACCCCCCTGAGTGCACAAATTTTTGTGCACTGGGCCTCTAGTGTTTTATAATCCACTCATCTGCTGCTGGGCACTTAGGTTGTTTTCAAATCTTAGCTATTGTAAATTGTGTTGCTATGAACATAGGGGTGCATATATCCTTTCTGATTGGTGTTTCTGGCTTCTTGGGATATATTCCTAGAAGTGGGATTACTGGGTCAAATTCAAGTTCCATTTTTAACTTTCTGAGGAAACACCATACTGTTCTCCACAGTGGCTGCACCAGTATGCATTCCCACCAGTAATGCAAGAGGGTTCCTTTTTCTCTGCATCCTCTCCAGCACTTTTAATTTGTTGATTTGTTGATGATAGCCATTCTGACAGGTGTGAGATGATACCGAATTGTCGTTTTGATTTGCATCTCTCGTATAATTAGTGACTTTGAGCATGTTTTCATATGTCTTTTGGCCTTCTGTATGTCCTCTTTCAAAAAGTTTCTATCTAAGTCCATTGCCCATTTTTTGATTGGATTGTTTATCTTTCTATTGTTAAGTTTCATGAGTTCCCTGTAAATGTTGGAGATTAAACCCTTATCGGTGATATCATTGGCAAATATGTTCTCCCATGCTGTGGGTCTCCTTTTTTTGTTGTTGATGCAAAAGCTTTTTATTTTGATGTAGTCCCATTTGTTTAGTTTCTCTTTAGTTTCCAATGCCCTAGGAGCATTATCAGAGAAGAAATTCCTTCAGCATATGTTTGTG